GCCAAGTTGTGAAGAGACATTCAAAGCTTGCAAACAACGACTCCTGAACAGTAAATGCCTTGCACATTATGATCCAGGAAAACCTCTCCGACTTGCCTGTGATGCCTCTCCATACGGAGTGGGTGCAGTCATTTCACATATCCTACCCTCAGGAGAAGAGAAACCGATTGCATTCGCATCACGGACCCTGACATCGAGTGAGCAAAATTATGCTCAAATAGAAAAGGAAGCTTTGAGCATAATTTTTGGTGTAAAGAAATTCAATAAGTATCTATATGGAAGAAAGTTTGTGTTACTGACAGATCACAAACCACTTTTGGCCATATTCGGACCAACGTCTGCAGTTCCAACTCTGGCTGCATTAAGAATGCAACGGTGGGCGTTACTTCTCTTGGCATATGACTATGAGATACAGTACCGTCGTTCCTGTGACCACGCAAATGCAGACGCATTATCCCGTCTTCCATGCAAACATGGTCCTTCTGAGGACGAGCATGAAGGAGTGTTTCTAATCTCTCATGTGGAAGAACTGCCTATTTCAGCGAAAGACATTGCAGAAGAGACCAGACGTGACCCTATCCTGTCAAAGGTCTTGGATCTCACACTGACTGGGTGGCCTAAGTTTGTACCTAATCCAAATCTCAAACCTTTTTATGAAAGGAAAGATCAGTTGTCCACAGACCAAGGATGCGTTCTTTGGGGATCACGGGTGGTCATTCCACCTAAGTACAGGAGAATATTGCTCTCAGACTTACATGAGGGTCATCCAGGAGTCACTCGAATGAAAGCTCTGGCAAGAAGCTTCCTTTGGTGGCCTGGTTTAGATCATGAGATTCAGGCATTTGTGGGTCAGTGTGCACCCTGTGAAACCACACTGAATAGACCCCCAACAGCCCCTCTCCACCCATGGTCATGGGCCACAGCACCGTGGGAGAGAATACATGTGGATTATGTAGAGGTCAAAAGCAGCATTTCCTGGTGGTGATAGATGTCCATTCAAAATGGATTGAAGTCTTACCTACAAAGCTGACGACCGCTGAAAAGACTGCTAACCTTCTCAGGAATTTGTTCGCATCATATGGTCTGCCGAAAGTCCTGGTTTCGGTCAATGGTCCTCAATTTACTGCACCTGAGTTTGCACAGTTCCTTAAATGAAACGGAGTTCATCATGTCCTGTCACCGCCATACCATCCGGCTTCAAATGGTGCAGCTGAAAGGGCTGTGCAAACCTTTAAAAAGGCATGGACTCAAATGCAGTCGCAGTCAGTGTCTCCCAGTCAGCGGCTAGACCGTTTCTTGTTCACATACAGAAATACTCCAAACACAGTCACGGAACGCACACCAGCAGAGTTGTTCCTGAAACGACAACCACGCACTCGTCTTTCATTACTCAAGCCAGATGTGTCGGATGTTGTATCCAAGCACCAGCTTCAACAGCAGAAAGTGCACGATAAGAAATCAAAGTCACTCCGCACGTTCAGTTTGGGAGAGAGGGTGTTAGTGCGAGACTTCAGACATCCCAAAAAGCTCTGGATCCCAGGCACTATTCTGACCTCAGGACCTCTGACTTACTGTGTGCAAGTAGGACATAGGCAAGTTAAAGTACATGTGGACCACATGTTACCGTCAAGGTCTTCAGGACAGCAGTGTGAAGGGATCAGTGATGACCTCTTTGATGATCTGCCAGTTCAGAGAGCTGGAACATCTGATCCAGAAGCTCAACCTGATCAATCTTCTGAAGCACACCCTGAACGGCGCTATCCCAAAAGCCAAAGAAAGTCACCACAAAGACTTAATCTTTAGGACTTAGTTTCTAGTTAAAGACTGTTAAAGTAAACACATAAGTTCAAAGTGTTATGTTAATATTAAGTTATATATGTGTTTAAAGCTACACCAAATTAAGCTTAGGTTATGTTAGGTTCCAATCTAAGGAGGGAGGAGTGTGGTATATTAGTGCAACTGTGTTACATGTATTACGGTATTTCCATTGTGCGCATGCGCTGTGAGTTGTATCAGCGCCAGGCTGACGAAGTTAACAAACAGTAAAGACGGCATACGTTATAGCTCTGTGTCTCTCTGTCTTTTCTCCCATAAAATACTACAATTAGCATGTTGCTAGCATGATTAACATGTTGTTAGCATGTTTTAGCATGATTAGCATGTATCTAGCATGTTTTAGCATGATTAGCATGTTGTTAGCAGGATTATCACATTGCTAACATGTTTTATGGTGCCTTCACATGCTATCGGAAATTTCTATTTCCCACTAATGAAGTCGTGATTAAGAACTTGTGGCATTCAAGTGCTTTGTTGTCCGAAAGAATAAAATGTAATATTCCATTGGTTGATAATCAACATTCACTGCGCTAGATAGTCAGCTTGCTCTACCTCTAGACGTTTCTAGAATTTCGGTCAAATATATTCTTATTTCACTGTTCATAAAACACACAATATGCTTCAAATGATTGTTCTTATATAGAAATAGACACTACTTTTACGACAAGACAAGGTGATGTTGTTGAAAAAAAAAAAACTAATAAGGAATAGCATTGGCATGCAGCAGCAATCGTCATCCCCTCCACCATGTTTAAAGTTTATGGCCCGCAGAAACTCGAGTATCTAAATAATCTCAGAGTTTCCCAGTAATAAATACAACTTGAGAGGCCGTTCATGTCCAATTTACGATTAGGAAACTCATATTTATGATAATTCCGATAGCATGTGAAGGCAACTTTAGTATGTTCCTAGCAAGATTTAGCACATTGTCTACTGTTGTCTGTTGTACATCAACAAATGAAGAAACCACTGATAATGAACAGCAAGGGCCATTTACTCTAGACAGAACTTTTGTTGAGAATGTTTAAGCTTTATAAAACTATATTCAATTAAGCTCATCAAAGAATCCTGAAAAATCTAATCACAGCTTTCACAAAATGTTATTTTTGCATGTCGTACTTCTGTATACTGTAAACTGATGAAAACATTGTAGTTCTTTTCCACAGGGACATTTAATAACTGACATCATTATGTTTTGGTAGTTCTGTTGCAATAAATCTTTTACCAATATATAAATATACATGTATATTGGCTGGATTTATCTGCAGTCATTCCTCTCAGTCTATTTTAACCAGGCCTTCACCAAGTGTCATGAACAGACAGGGTGCTTATCTCTATCAGGTACAGAGATAGTGAAAGACAGGCCCGATACTTTGTCCATACATGGGCCTGCTGTCTGTCTCAGTCAGACTTCACACCGGCCTTCAGATGCCATGAGAGCAATGTGAAATGCTGGTGGCTCATACAGTCTGTGAGCCTGAAGACAGGTCTCTATACCATAGAAATAGCATACGCTGGTATGACTTTCCATTTAAAGGGGTCATCTGAGGCGGTTTTATTTGATTTTAGATGATAAATATGTTTCTGGTGCTGATTTTATCACAATGATCTCTAAATCTCATATGTCCTCAGAGACTTGGTCATCTGATTTGGCCTCCCCATTACGCACTCTAAAAAAAGCATATTTATTTTCAAAAGCCATAATGACTCTAAACTATTTTTGAGGACGGGGACTTTGGCCCCCACACATTTATCATGCTAAAATATTGTGAGATATGGTTTTCATTTAAATTTGTGATCTTCATTGCCTTGCTGTTTTTTTTTTTTTAAAGCAAAAACATGAATGCTTGAACTTTTTATTCCCACACGCTTTTAAAAACGTAAACTTTTTCATTTTAGATCTTTTATTTTTGACATTTTTTATGTGATGATGTCTCTTCCTTCCAGAAATTTGTTGAATCCCGTCACACCTTTCGTCTCCTTTACACTGCAGGTGTAAATTAAGTCTCTTTTCAAGAAAATTCCCAAGATTATTCTGATTATTAAAATGAGGAAATTATGAAAAAACTTTCCATTATATTGACGTCAGGAGGGCAGAGTTGACAGCGAGGCATGACAAAATAACTTGGGAGGATCACAAAGGTTATCAAAACATTAAGAGGTTCAGAGGAAAGCATTTAATCAAGCCAAAATAAACAATAATTATGTTAAATATGATTAATAATATTTATTTTTAGCTAGGTTTAACCATAACCTCCTTTACAAACACAACTAATGCAATCATCAGTACGGCCATGGCATCCCCTAACAATTAACAGATATCATTTCTTTCAGTGTCATGATCAATTATCAAATCATTATTTGTCACTTTTTCATAAAGAGTGACCAAGAAAAGGATGCTTTTGAAAATGTACCCCCCTTGTTTATTTCTTCAATATTTTGTGAAAGTTGTGAAGTTAGTGAAGTTTCAAATACAAAAAAAAATAAAATAAAAATAAATAAATAAATAAATACATAAAAAGTATAATTGATATACTAGTATAGCCTTTGGTAATATTTTTAATATATTTTTTTCTGTACTCACTGTAATTTTAGTTAAAGACTTAGTCTTTTACTTTTGTTTAATTTTATTATTATTAATTTTTATATATTAATTTTATTTTATTTGGTTTTAGATATTTTAGTAGCCTACTTAAAGTAAAACCAAACAAAAATGAGAAATGTTGCAACTAAATAAAATAATCTCTCTCTCTCTCTATTAATTAGTAACAACAACAACAACAACAACTTACAATCATCAATGCCAGAAAATGTACTATTTTCAGGCTGTCCTTTTTACTATTTACATTGTTCATGCGTCCGTGTTTTTTTTTATGTTTAGTGGTACATTGTTGCATGTTCTCTGTCTTGCACTGCAAATAATAAATAATAATAATGTAAAAATGCAATACAATTAAGGTGTGTCATACCCTCTTTATTTAAACAAAAAATAAATAAAATAAATGTTGTAGGTAAAAAAAAACAACAGCTTTATTTACATCAGAAACTACATTTCCCACAATTCCCATGAACTAAAAATGTTTTCGTTTGTTTCGTCGCAATTTCAAACCCCAACTTTTTTTTCCATGGAAAAACCACGTAATCCTAAAGCTCTCTGTATCATCATGTGTACAATCGTTACCGAAGGGTGTCATTTATTATAGTTATATATTGCGATCGCATAACTCTTATAGCGCTTATTTAGTGTCAATGGCAAGTAAGAAGTTACGGAGGACGGGCGTCTCAATCTGATCTCTGCGAACGAGTCAAGCGCCATCAAGTGGAAACCTGCCAGGTGAGCAGTGTTGCCGCGGGATGTTTTTCATGTCCGCGGGGTGAAGCGACCCCAATAACGTGATATTTATCCGCTGGAATGCGACTTTTACCTTGGGAAGTGTAAAACCTGAAGAACGTCTAGAATTATGGAATTTAATCACATTAATCATTTCACTTAATTGTTTTAACATATTTACATACTAGTTTCTAAAAATTAGCAGCTTAATTTCACCGTTTTATTTCATTTCTGTCATGATGTTTAAACATGGGAAAAAACAAAAACAAAACAAAAGCTGTGGTTGTCACTCCCAAAAGGCTTTCTGTGAATGGGCCTAGAGTTTTTCTAATTCATCTGTGCTTTCTGGGCTCTCTCACGCCCTCTGGTGTTTTACATATAGAGGTGACCTCAAACAGCACTGAAGCGCATAACCATAACTGTGAGCTTGTAACACTTCAAAGAGAAAGGAAAAATTGAAATCGCATCATATGACCCCTTTAAAAATTGTCTTTTTATATATCTTCATAACATTCTAAAGGTTTTAAACAACTTGAAAGTGCATAAAATGATGGCATTTGTCATTTTGGGGTGAACTGTGTCTTGTCTGTGTTGTTTGTCAGGTGACTGTCCCGTCAGGCTGTGGAAAGACTCAGTTGTGTATTATGCTCAGTGTTTTGGCTACTCTGCCGAGGAGTATGGGAGGTCTGGACAGTGGAGTCATCTTCATCGACACAGAGTCGGCATTCTCTGCTGAAAGGTGTTCAAAAAGTTTGCTTACTCACTCTCACGTGCACTTTTTTGTGTTTTCTCTTAAACTAACAATCTTCCTCTCTCAGACTGATAGAAATGGCACAGGCCAGATTCCCAGAATTCTTCTCGGTGAAGGAGCGTCTGCTGGAGATGACATCTCGTGTTCATATCTTCAGGGAACTGGCCTGTCAGGATGTCCTGAATAGTTTGGAACACTTCCCAAACACCTATACATATTTAGGGTGCGTTCACACTTGTCATGTTTGGTTCGATTAAAGGGGTCATATGATGCTTTTTTAAAGATCATTATTTGGTGTATTTGGTGTAACAGAACATGGCCTGGTGCGATTGCTCTGTTAGTGCCGTTCGTTAAGTGTGAACGTTGCCATCCGAACCCTGGTGCACACCGAACAAACGGACCGAGACCGCTGAAAAGATGGGTCTCGGTCCGCTTCCAAACGATCTTTAAGCACCTTTTGTTTGGGGTGTTCGGTAAGTTCCGTCATGATATATACGTCATTCAAGCCGACCAATCAGGTTGTGAACGTATCACTACGCCTTTAGCTTCGGTGTCTTTAGGTTCGCTGTCAAAAATGCCAATGTGAACGCTAAGCGGACCAGGACCAAATGTATCATTTTATTTTTTGGTCCGAACCAAATGAACCAAACGAACCGAAATACAAGTGTGAACACACCCTTAATTATATTAACTTAAGTCGACTGTACTTTTAAAGTAATAGTTCACCTAAAAATTAAACCTGTCATTTTTCCTTTTTATTTATGAGATGATGCAGAGCTTTTAGGGGATCAGAGTGTGGCGCTAGCAACGCTAAGGTTTTGGGTTTGATTCCAAGGGAATGGGTGCCATGAAATTATGACATTTGACAATTAATTGGAATAAATAGTCAAAAGAAGTCTCTTATGCTCACTAAGGCTGCATTTATTTGATCAAAAGAACAGCAAAAAACAGCAATATTGTCAAATATTATTACAATTTAAAATAACTTTTTCCTATTTTAATATATATATATATATATAGTATTTTATAATTTATTCTTGTGATGTCAAAGCTGAATTTTCAGCATCATTACTCCAGTCTTCAGTGTCACATGATCCTTTAGAAATTTTAATATGCTGAATTTCTGCTCAATTATTATCAATTATTATTGGTGCTCTATGATTAATAATGGTTCTTATCATTATCAATAAGAACATTTTGTGGAAGCTGTGATTAGTTTTTTTTTTGAGTTCTTTGATGAATAGAAAATTCAAAAGAACAGAATTTAATTGAACTTTTTTTACTGTCACTTTTGAACAATTTAATTGATCCTTGTTGAATACAAATATTCTTTCTTTTTTTTTTTGAATAGTCGTTATGTTTTCACAATAGTATTAAAGGAGCACAACAATGTCAACACTGATAATGAAAATAAATGTTTCTTGAGCACAAAATCATCATATTAGAATTATTTCTGAAGGATCATGTGACACTGAAGACTGGAGTAATGATGCTGAGAATTCAGCTTTGCATCACAGGAATAAATTAGATTTTAAACTACATTAAAATAAAACAATTATTTAAAATGGTAATAATATTATACAATATAACTGCTTTTATTGTATTATTTGATAATATGGATGGAGCTTTGGTAAGAATGAGAGTCCTCTTTCAGAAAAACATTTAAAAAAAATTTTATTCAAAGTTATTCCAAACTTTTTACTGGTAGTGTATACATTGAATATAATTAAAGTGGCTTTGGATAAAAAAAACATCTGCTAAATACATATATGTAAATTTTTGGATTAAATGTCTGCTAAATATTTAAATGTAATGAAAATGCAATGAATAGAAATCTTGAATTTAAAATGGCTTTGACTATAGCATTATTGCATAAATGAACAGTGTCTCGTGTTATGCCAGGCTGTATTTAAGCTTGTGATCACACATTTGTGGGGCGTTTTATTGATGTTGCACAGGCTGGAGCATCTGGAGGAGGACATAATTGTGTGTCGAGCGGGGCTGCTTATTTTGGATTCGGTTGGCTCTGTTGTGAGGAAGGAGTTTGACACGTCGCTGCAGGGAAATCTAACGTTCAGGAGTAACTTACTGAAGTACCTCTCGCAGGAGTTCTGCATCCCAGTAAGACTATTTACATGGATGTGTGCATTTGTACTTGTAGTACATACATTCAACCACAAAGTGTCGCTACACAGTTATGGTTATGCGCTTCAGTGCTGTTTGAGGTCACCTCTATATGTAAAACACCAGAGGGCGTGAGAGAGCCCAGAAAGCACAGATGAATTAGAAAAACACTCTAGGCCCATTCACAGAAAGCCTTCTGCTTTTCCATGTTATCTGATCTTGGGAATTTCCGCACTAGTTTAAGATCTTCGAAGATACATAAGTGTTGCCTTTACTCACCTCCTGCATCGCCAGCATGTTTATCTTGAAGAGGAAAGGTAGATTTGCACCGGAATATTGTTTTCCGCTTCCTGCTTATGAAGAGTATAAGAGCTAGAGGGCTGATCCTGGATCAGGTTTTGATCTGTACTCCTTTTATCCACTAGTACAAATGAATACATTCAGTGGGGTCCGAATTTTTTTTCATATTTAATACATATTTTGAGCAAATGAAATTTTAATCATTTAAAGGGTTAGTTCACCCAAAAATGAAAATTCTGTCATTAATTACTCACCCTCGTGTTGTTCGAAACCCGTAAGACCTTCGTTCATCTTCGGAACACAATTTAAGATATTTTTGATGAAATCTGATGGCTCTCTGACCCTCCCATAGACAGCAAGGTAACTACCACGTTCAAGGTCCAGAAAAGTACCAAGATGATCGACAAAGTAGTCCGTGTGACATCAGTAGTTCAACTGTAAAGTTACAAAGCTACGAGAGTACTTTTTTTGCGGAAAGAAAACAAAAATAACGACTTTATTCCACATTTTCATCTCTACTGCATCACTTTGGATCAGGGTCAGATTTGGGTCAGAGAGCCCTCATATTTCATCACAAATATCTTAAATTGTGTTCCGAAGATGAACGGAGGTCTTACGGGTTTCGAACAACACGAGGGTGAGTAATTAATGACAGAAGTTTCATTTTTGGGTGAACTAACCCTTTCATTTTGAATGATTATTATATAGAGGAACATATAAAATAACAAAGAAATTCAGGTTAATTGCTTTTATATTTCTATTTATTTTTTGTTTCTGTTTAATACATTTTTTCCAACAAATAATTAAACATTTAAATTATTATTACTACTATTACTACTGCTGTTGTTGTTACAGAGAAACATAAAACATTTTTAATTTGTTAATTGCTTTTGTATTTCTATTTATTTTTGTTTTTATTTAATAAATATTTTCAGCAAATTATAATTTTAAAAATATTATTATTATAGAGAATAATTATTTGTTTTTCTATTGCTTCATATTTCCAGAAAATAATATTTTAAATATTTAAATTATTAATATTATTATAGAGAAACATAGAATACTGACAAATCTATGTAACTTTGTTAATTGCTTCTATTTTGCAGTTTTTTTATTTAAAACAAAATGCATAATCAGTAGTTTTATTAAATAATGAATAAATTATGATTATTATGATATAATCTGCTGAAAAGCAAAATAGAAGCAATTAACTAGGCTTTTTTTTAGTATTTTGCATGCCTCCCTTTTGCTTTAATGACAGCAGTATACCTTATTTACAGTATTTCTCAAATTTAATTTTGAATTCCTGATTTTCAGACTTTAGTGTGGACTCTGTTGTATCGACACACAATAGTTTAAAATGGGTTGCAGATCATGTTTATAGTTACTTATGGCAAATTAGTATGATCATTTTATTGACCATTTTTGTGCTTTGTTGACACTGGGATCAAGTTTAAATATAAGTGTGCTACAACAAAATACTGGGCATTCCCTTATTTCAAAAGAAGTACTTGACTGTTCTCAGAGGACATCCCAGGCTGAAACCCCAAACTCATCTGATCTGCAGTTTGCTTGTGGTCCCCCTCCAGCCATGCTCATTTTAAAGATAGCTGTTGTGTTTTAAATCAGTGCAGTAAATGTCTGCTTGACACTGCCAGTGGCCACAAGTGAGTTTTAATACAGCTTTCCACAGCAGTAGAAATGGGCCTCAACATGAAACCACATGCTAGATAACTCCTAGAGGTAGGTAACTACGTTATAGCCCCCCTCACACACATAAAAGCTCATAACCGTAAAATAGGTCAACATTTTTTAAGTTTCCAAAATAAAACCTACACTTTAGCACCTGGAGCCAAACCATAATTAGGTTATTAAGTTTGTTCTCCCAAGCTTTATAAAGGAATGTTGAAATGTTTTAGGTTTTGGCGGATTGTTTTTATTTGTGTGTTTTTTGAGTAAGAGCTGTGTTCGATACCCCAGTGCAAGTGTTTAATCAGATCAGAACATCGACCTAGATACAACAATCTTTTTGTCTTTTTAAGTGCAAGCTTAAGTACTGTTAATGACATACTGCTGTATTTTAATTAACACCATAATATAGTTAAAATAGATCATGTTGTAAGCAACAGTCCCTTGCCTGGCCCTTGTGCATATTTCTGGAAGAGCCCTATCAGAAAAGCTTCTAAAAATCACACATCTCACAAAAACAAATTATATATATATATATATATTTATATTTATATATAGGCCTATATACAGTGGGTACGGAAAGTGTAAATTCATGTGGAGACATTTGCACTTTAATACTAAATAGATCTTAATATTTACATATATTTAGCAGCTTTAGTGAAGGAGTGAACTACAATCCCATGAACCAATGAGAACGACATTAATCAAATTAAAAACAATGGAGAAATTTAAAACTATTGTTTAAAAGGTGCTGGTTGTATTTATAGAAACAATATATTTTAATTTCTTTGCAAAATATACAAATATTGAATATTTTGAGAGAATAAAGGAGACGTTTCGTGGGAGTGGGCGGAGCTAAATATCTCTTTTAGCACACTTTGCTCGCTGCAACGCTCTGATTGGTGAATTTTCTGTACTGCATCATGGGTAATGTAGTTTTTATCATGAATTCTGCTATTAGACACGATTATGTTAAATTAATGCGAAAATATGGGTTCGACAAAAACATATACAATTGTTTAACAACCTCAGAGCTCACAACAGGTCTGTTTTTAAAGGTTTATCAGTTATTGTTAAAAATCTATTTCCCTATGGAGAAATGAAAGTTTTTACTTCAGGAACAATTCATTCTGCAGCAACAGATGCTGACTAGAATTTGTTTGCCTGTTCTTTAGTCACATGGCCCCAGTATATACCATTATGTAATGAGTGATGTCAACCATTGTTAATTATTGTGATGATAAATTCAGTGTCCGCTGAACTCTCGCATAGTGACAGCAGGCTGTTTATTCTCATCTTTGTGTGATCCCTTCAAACTGGACTGAACTCAAGTACAGATGTTTCCCTTCTGTCTCCCTCAGGTGGTTTTAACGAACCAGATCACCGCACATGTGGGCGAGAAGGTTCACTGTCCTCAGTGGATTCAGGCAGATGGTAAGAACAGCCTTCCATCGTCTGCTGGAGTCTAAAGTGATTTTTGTGTAAAAGGGATTCGATGGTATAAATTTAGATCAGAAATTCCCGTCAAGAGGCTCTTCTGTTTCATCCCTCCCTGATGGGCTGTTCTCTGATCTCGCTAATGGAAGCCATCGCTCCGAGCCATTCCGAGATGGTATGTGGGACAAATGAGCATCAGATATGACCTTCCACACAAGCAGCTGTTGTAGGTTCTTTGGAACTACATAATTGACCTTGGAGAAGATGGTATTACGCTAACCAGGGGGCTGAAACCGCAATCCTCTCACTCTACAAACCTGTCTGGGCCTTCTGCGAATCTCACGACATCTCTGATTCCATGGCTGTGCAGTGACCCGTGTCTTCTGTCACTCTATATTTGGACTAGTGCATGGATCCTCTGGCACACGTCCAGGTGTACAGTGGGAAAGGGTCTTGTTTTGGGGCAAAGCTTTGAGGAAAGAGATACAGGCTCTGCTCTTGTGTTATCTAACAGGCACATGTTCCTGGCCTGTAACTTTACACCCAGACACCTCTTTCTTTACATCCCACTGTTCCACTCGGCAAGGTGGGGTTACCGATAACTCTTTCTCCCACTCACTTACTCTCTGTATCATTCTCTTACCCATGCGCACAATCTCTGTTTTTCCATCTCTTGGGATTGTGTGGGGAAAGAATGGCCCTTCTACAGCCTCACCCTGTTTATCTCTTCTTTCTGCCTTTGCTTCTCAATTCTTGGTCTTATCTGACACATAAAGCGATGGTTCACCCAGAAATTAAAACATTGTCATCTTTTACTCACCACCATGTCATTCCAAATTCATGTGACTTTCATTCGTTTGTATGAACACAGAGTCAGATGTTTATTAGAATGTTCACGCTGCCCTTTTTCATACAATGAAAGTGGATGGTGTCAAGTAAAAACTAGAGATTTACCGAAATTTCGGCCGCTGAAAATTATTGGGCCTAAAATGGCATTTTCGGTTTTTGGCCGAAAGAGAAAAATGGGCGAAAATATATGGCGCCCAGCGGTGTTCAGTGTGCAGGTTTCACTCTGCCTCTAGCTGTCGTCACTGTGCGGTGTGACGCTGAATGTGCGTTCTGTTGAGTTTAAAAAAGCAAAGTCTGCTTAAATAACATGCAGACAGAAAATTTATATGTAATACACTTGTTCCTGTTTGCAGTAACTGTGCTGTAACTTGGTGTAGTACAGTTGTACTGGGTAACACTGGTAAAATGACGCTACCCTCTTGTGACGCTATGCTCTGCTCACATGCTCTGATAATAATAGCTTAGTAGGACTATTCACTATTTGGATAATTAAACAAAAAAATCCAGAATTTTCAGTTTCGGCCCAGAATTTTCATTTCGGTACATCCCTAGTAAAAACCTCATAAAACCAAATGAAAGCCATTCATGCATGTGTTTAAATGAACATTCAAATACATCTCGATTTGTCGCAAAACACAGAAGAACCAGTAACTTGAATATCTTTGAGATGCCTTGTTTGAATGTGCACAAGTGAGAATCTTGAAATCAAGTGAAAGCTTTTTGTGAATTTTTCACAAATTACTACTCAAATTTTGTGTCTGTTCTATTATGATATCTCACAAAGATATAATGGATTCAAAAGACTTTAAACGAAGCATAAAACATCAATATGGACTACATTTATGGTGATTTTTTAATCATTTTGGAGCTTTACAGCAGAGGTGTAAAGTATTGGAGTAAATGTAATTAGTTACTGTACTTGAGTATCTTTTTGGATACTTTGTAGTTGTACTGAGTATCAAAGATATTAGCAACTTTTTTACTCTCTACTTCACTAAATTTTTGAATGAATATCTGTACTCTTTACTCCACTACATTTGAAATGAGTGTTGCAGTTACACATTAAATTTTGCATGGACCTAGCTTTTTCTGCAGCAATTTATTTCTGCTACAAAAGACGTGATACTGCCTATTACAGGTCACTGAAAGTACTGCATCTTGTGTGTTTTGCCCTTACTCACTCAAACTTGTCAACAAGGCTACTTTATGTAGATATCATTGGAATCATTTTCAGAACAATTTGTTTCCAGCTGATGAACGATAAAAACATTGACAGCCAATCAGAATCAATCCTGCTGTCACGAGCTCGAGAATTTAAAGCGACAGACGAGTGTACACTTAGAATAATCAGACGATATCGTTCGCTGGTGTGGACGCTAATATTGTTATCTTTATAGTTATCGTTCTTGGTGTGAACGGGCATACATTTTTATTAAGGGATATAATGTAAGTGATATAATATAATATACCAATCTACATGAACTACCAAAATCTACTTAAAATGTACTGATTAACACCATAATAATACAGGTGGTACAATAGAAAACAACATAATGAATCAGAGTTCTTTGTAAGTAGCCTGTCTATAAATCATGGCTTATATTCATATAGTGCATAGGGTCACATGACACACAAAGACAAAACACTATCAGATCCTAGGATAGACACTAAAATAATGCAAAAAATGAACTAAATAACATACACAAAACACTCTGATGTACATTACTGATAACAAAAATGAGAAGAAACAACATTATTTATATAAAATATAGTCATATGTTATGTGATATGCAGGGGTTTTTGGGAATGTCATTTTTTAAATTATTTTTCATATTTATTTGTAAAGCCCATAGATTTGACAGTATTTTACTGTAAAATTACATGTAATGTTTAACAATGTTAAAACGTTTTTTTTTTACCATATAAGGTAACTTGTGTAAACATGTTTTTACTTTAGCATTTTTAGTTTTTTTTGTATAAATTGCCATTTTTATACAGTGTATCCTATCCTGGCATACACAAGTATCCCTTTTGCAATGAGGAATGGAACTAGATTATGCACTACGTAAGGGTTTTGACATGAGTGCAACACATAAACGCTAATTTATGACTCTTTCTGCAAATTGACGACTGTGCAAAGTTTAAAGCAGGTTTTAAGCACAAAAAGTATCCTCTGTGATCGCCCCCTGAAAAACGCATCTAAACAATGTGTGCTGGATCTGACCTTAAATCAGTGTAATTACATAGGCCTCCTTAAAAGTCATTCAGACAATCCACTGATGAAAAAGCATATCGTTTTGCACATTCTACTTGTGACTGAGGAGAAGTATGTGTAAAACAAGTCAGCAAGTGAGCTTTAGAACATCAATGAGACATTCACAAATATTTTCCCAGTTGATGGAGAGTATAAGAGAGAAGATTGTTGGAAAAACTGCACGTCTGCATGATTATCGGCACAATTCAGTTGCCAAACTCTACAGGCTTTCAAACCAAATCAGCCTAGAGGACAAAGAAACTCCAAATTTTGTAACCGCATTATCTTTGAATCTACATCACAACATGAGAGACACACTCCCTTGTCTATATCCAGTCCAAGTCAACAACTTTCCCATTCCCCTGTTTGACAATCCATCAATAAAAATATCTGGACATGCTGAATTTGGTGCAAACAAGAATCGGATCCTGTAATAACTGATTTGTGGGTTCTTAAAAAGACAGCTGATTGAAGTCTGTGAATAGCCCTGCTGTCACGCAGTGTGGGAAAGCACCCATTGCTTCTGTTGGGATCGGAGAGTGTAGGCGGATTGTTCTGGAACCCAGAGCATTGATTTAAGAAGCTGGGTCTTAACAGGGCGTCACATTTGTTTAGTCTGGCCCTCTCAAACCTTATTACCATGAACTCGCTTTAAAACGCATGCTCATTAGACTGCGTTTCTTTCAGACATCAGAATGAATTGTGCCTGCTGATTTGTACACGGCTGAGTCACTATAGTAATTATGCAAATAAGGTAACAGCACAGACATGCCCACAAAATCTGTTGAATGCAATTCGCACAGGATACAGCAGACTACCGCTATCTGGTGTATTTTACTTGCACTTGCTTCTTTAAAATGCGCTCATTTACACACGCTTCTGGATTCATGCAAGTATTTATTTTGCAATATTGACTGGTTGACTGTGCATTATTTTGCATCTTATACAGCTACTTGCCAAAAAAAAAAAACGTGCAGCACATACCTGTATCACCTAAGCATGGGAGGCATCGGGATGTTTGCTTACAATATATCGTTGCTTGGGTATTTTGAGCATATTTTTACCCCTAAGAAAACTTTCCTGTGAATATATGGGGTCTTTACCGTAATATTATTATTAAAGTCCTCCAAGGTCATTTTTTCACTACAGTCCTACAATATGAACTAGCAAGATGGTGGCAGTTGCGTTAGTATGAAATGAGAGAGCCAGTCCGAGATGTGATACTAGACACATTAAAGGGTTATTTCAGCCAAAGTATTTATTTTGCAATAATGACTGGTTGACTGTGCATTAGTTTGCATCTTATACAGCTACTTGCCAAAAAAAAAAACGTGCAGCACATACCTGTATCACCTAAGCATGGGAGGCATCGGGATGTTTGCTTACAATATATCGTTGCTTGGGTATTTTGAGCATATTTTTACCCCTAAGAAAACTTTGCTGTGAATATATGGGGTCTTTACCGTAATATTATTATTAAAGTCCTCCAAGGTCATTTTTTCACTACAGTCCTACAATATGAACTAGCAAGATGGTGGCAGTTGCGTTAGTATGAAATGAGAGAGCCAGTCCGAGATGTGATACTAGACACATTAAAGGGTTATTTCAGCCAAAACTAAAAAATGTCATCAATTCCTCACCCTCATGTCGTTCCATAGTCCTTAAGACTTTTCGTTCATCTCTGAAACATGAATGGAATGAAATCTGAAAGATTTCAGTCCCTCCATTCCACCAAAACGGTGATACTTCAAAAAGTTCACAAAACATTGTAAAAGTAATCCACATGAATCAAACGGTTTAATCGAAGTCTTTAATCAACGCACATACATAGAGCGCAGCAAACATGGTAAACAGAAGCTCAACCGAACTTGCTTGATGCATGCAAAAAAATTCATTGGCTCTCATGCATCAAGCAAGCAGCTTGTTTACCATATTTGATATGCTCTACAGTATGTGCATTGATCAGTGTTTAAATTTGAATAAAAACCTAAATTGTAATTCATGTAATCGGTCACTTCTCTTCAGAAGGCTGATTAAATCACTTGATTTACATGAATTACTTTTTCAATGTTTATATACACCTTCTGTGCCAAAGCTTTGGTGAAATAGGCTTTCAATGGAGGAGCAGACATTTTAATTGCATTAAAAATATCTTCATTTGTGTTTCAAAGATGAACAAAAGTCTTACAGATTTGGAACAATACGAGGGTGAGTAAATGATAACAGAATTTTCATTTTTGGCTAAACTATCTCTTTAAAGTAGCGCCAGTTTGAGTTACACGGAATGAGCGGTCGGGTATACATGGACGAGGGTGAATATTATGAAATCTGATTGCAGAATGCCATGATTACCAGAGAGTTGTGTAAGTTAAAAGGTTATAACACTATTTTGATTTGATGAATTATTTGATGAACAGAGAATATACACAAACATTGCAGGATTGTGTGTGTTTAGTAAATTAAGCGTGATTTTGTGGTAAAATTCTGTGTGAAAAGTGGCACTGTTTGGTAAAGTAGCCCTTTTTATCTGTTAATGTGAAACAGAGCTCAAAACCGATCTGGAGCTGTAAAGTGGTTGCCTATTGTTTCCAGATTTTTTTTGTTTTTTTGAGGATATTATTTTTTCAGAGGAGGGGCCTTCCAGGCATCCAGTTCACTGACATGCCGTGCCAGCCTTTTCAGGTTTCTCCCGCACTCGACTTTCCACAGGAAATGTTTTGAGGACGTGAGAGTTGCTGATGCGACAGTTTTGAATGGTATTGTCAGATTACAGCATGGTGCTTAAATGTTACACAACAAAGAATCATGAGAAAGACTCTCAGACCGTGACCTCAGAGGCCCTGACTGTTTCTGGTTGTGGCACAGCAGGCGAATAAAAACACACAGGTGTGTTTACATAGCAGTTCGAAGAAGACCCCGATGAGTGTTGTCTATAGTAACATTGGTAACTTCCTCAGGTGTTTGAGCTAAAGAAGCGTTTCCATTGTTTCTCAGGCTTATCATCTGCTCTGCACTCAGTCCTTAAACCTCAATAATGGCTCAATGGCTCTAAGTTTTCAAGTGATTCACAGTGGATGAGTGAGTTATGGCAATTGGGAAATGGAGCAATATGCCAATGGCGGGTGAAATGAGAAAAAGTTCCAGTCATGAATATTTATTTCTGATTATGAAAATTTATTTTTGCATTTTATATATACACCACTGTACCATTCAAAAGTTTGGGTCAGTAAGATTTTATTTTTAATAATTTTTTTTTTTTAGAAATGACACTTTAAACTGATCGAAAGTGACAGTAAATAATTTTGCATAGTTACAAAAGATTACTATTTCAAATAAATGCTGTTCTTCGGAACTTTCTATTCATCAAAGAATCCCACATATAATATTAAACGGCACAACTGTTTTCAACATTGATAATTATAATTGTTTCTTAAGCAGCAAATCAGCTATTAGAATGATTTCTGAAGGATCATGTGACACTGAAGACTGCTGAAAATTCAGCTTTCATCGTAGGGATTAAAATACATTTATTAAAATACATTAAAGTATAAAACCGTTATTTTAAATTGTAATAAGATGTCACAATATTACTATTTTCACTGTTTTGATCAAATAAAAGTAGCACTGGTGAACATAAGAGACTTCTTTCAAAAACATTAAAAAAAATCTTACTCTGTCCTCAAACTTTTGTACTGTAGCTAATTTATCTAAATAATGACATGTTCATAAGCAATACATAACTGGAAATTATAAGAATGCATATGGATATATCTAGGATGCATAACATTTTATCTCACAACTGACAAACATGGAATATTTCACCAAAACAAAAATATGAAAAAAAAAAAATTTGTGTTTTCCTAAAATAGAAGTTTTCCACATTTTAGCAAAAGTTGGTTCTTGTTGGTACTTTTAATTTAAATCAAGTCATTCAAGAGAAATTCAGATGATCATCGTTACAATTCGGTTTACACCATCTTGCAAGTTGTAATAAAGCAACTGGCTAAATGGCAGTTAATTAACTAACATATATATATATATATATATATATATATAAGAGGGTGTTTAGCTGTCTCCGTTCTGTGTCCTCATACTGGACAATGAGGTGCGTGTTAATGCAGTGACTCCATGTGTTTCCCAGTGCCGCTGTCACAAACCCTGAGTCCTCCTCGGTAGATACTGAAGGTCCAAAAAAAAAATTATCAGGGTCTGACCTTAAAGGTGGGGTAAGTGATTTCTGGTAGCCAATGTTGATATTTCAAATCACCAAAACAAACACGCCCCTACCCCAAAAGGGTCTCGCCCCTATTTTGATAGCTCTGCCCCACACATATGTACACAACCCAGGCAACGATAATGGCGGAATCTGCTGTGCCAGCCGACCGAGGGTATGATGTCATCAATAAGTGAAAGCAATGTGTGTTACTATGGTAATACAGGTCGTATGTGTTTTGGTAGTACTGTGTGTTTTAACGTGAATGGTTTCGCTCCGTGCGAAACAAAGCAACCTCGGCGTCCGATCGCAGGCCTTCACGCTCCTTGAGTTCTCTCCAGCGCTGGAAAGCTGATCTGATGTTTACACGGGTCCTACTTCTTGCCTTATCGTAAGCCTTCTTTTGTTCCGCGTTTTCCTCTTTTGTTTTTTATCCGCCATCTCTATCTTTCTGTCGCTTGGCTTGGCTAATGTCAGTCCTGTGCACTGAGCGCTCTCTCCTCCCCATCATGAGTAGACACGCCCCTTACTGCTGATTGGCTACAAGTTTGTTTTGGTACTCGGCCCGACT